GTGACCGGGCGCTGAACCTCAACGTCCGGTCATTTCCAGTAAGCATCCAGAGATGACTTTTCACAACTGGACGTATCCGGTCAAGCTCGACCGGACTCATCCAGTGTCCGGTCACACGGTGACTCTTCTGTGCACTGCCACATCAGCAGGACCGGACGCAACCCTCCAGCGTCCGGTCACTAAGTAACCCAACGTCTGGTCAGAGATCGACGCCAGCATCTTCATGCTCCACCTGACCGGACACGCCGGTCCTAACAAGACCAGCGTCCGGTCACTTACAGTGACCTCTGTCTTTTCTGTCTAGGGCGCCGGTGGCACCGTCGGACTATCCGCACTCTACGGGCGGACACTCCACCGGTGAAGTTCCATACCCTTGCTCAAATGTGCCAACCACCAAGTGTATCACCTTGTGCACATGTGTGTTAGCATATTTTCACAAACATTTTCAAGGGTGTTAGCACTCCGCTAGATCCTAAATGCATATGCAATGAGTTAGAGCATCTAGTGGCACTTTGATAACTGCATTTCGATACGAGTTTCACCTCTCTTAATAGTACGACCATCGATCATAAATGTGATCACACTCACTAAGTGTCTCGATCACTAAAACAAAATGACTCATACTATTTATACCTTTGTCTTGAGCCTTTTATTTTTCTCTTTCTTCTTTTCCAAGTTCAAGCATTTGATCATCACCATGCCATCACCATCATCATGATCTTCACCATTGCTTCATCACTTGGAGTAGTGCTACCTATCTCATAATCACTTTGATAAACTAGGTTAGCACTTAGGGTTTCATCAATTAACCAAAACCAAACTAGAGCTTTCACAGGTTCAACTTGAGGAGTTCCCGTTGTGTGAAGGATTCTTCTGGTGGGCACAGGCGGATCCATGTTCTTTATCGATAGATGTTTATTATCATTCCATTGTTTAATATTCTGCACTCAGAATTTGGTACTGTAATAATATATTTTTAAGAACTCTGGATGTATGAAATAGACTAAGTATTGTAACTCGTTCTCATTATTGGATCCTTGGGAAAAATGTGGACTTTTTGGGCTCTCCCTTAGGGTGTGCCTGACGGAACCCGCCCGATGTGGCTTGCTTTCGGGGTGCTTAGTGTCAGTGAAAGACAAGCGCCTCCATAAGTGCGTTATTTTGAGCGGTTCTATCATAGTGCGGTTCTGTAGGCTGGACGACATCATCGGCGCACAGGGTCCTCAGGCCTGGCGGAGCGGCTGCTCAATGACCCAGAGCTGCTTCTCGTTAGTTCAAAGGAACCACCCACGTTCGCACTGGCCGAGCATGATGCAAATTGGCAATGGGCGATGCTGGAGGAGATGAAGGCGATCGAGGAAAATGAGACTTGGGAGCTCGTCGATCCACCTCCAAGATGTTGTCCAATCGGTCTGAAGTGGATGTACAAGGTCAAGCGGGACGAGTATGGCGCCATTGTCATGCACAAGGCACGCCTTATCACCCGAGGCTTTGTCCAACACGAGGGCATTGACTTTGAGGAAGTCTTTGCGTCGGTAGCACACATGAAGTCTGTTCAACTGCTGCTGGCTTTGGCAGCAGCGAAGGACTGGCGCGTCCATCACTTGGACGTAAAATCAGCCTTCCTCAACAGTGAGTTGGCAGAGATAGTCTTCATCAGGCAACCTCCAAGTTTTGTCATCAAGGGAGCGGAGCACAGGGTGCTCCGACTGCGCAAGGTGCTCTACGGGCTACGGCAGGCCCCATGAGCATGGAACGCCAAGCTTGATGCCACGCTGGGCGAGCTTGGGTTCACGTGGTGTGCAACCGAGCATGCGCTCTACACGCGGCGACAGGGGAAGGAGAATCTCGTCGTCGGTGTGTATGTGGACGACTTGATCGTCACCGGTGCGCGTGCGGAGGACATCGACAGCTTCAAGCGTGAGATGGCGGCTCATTTTTGAATGAGCGATCTCGGTGCGCTCTCCTACTACCTCGGCATCGAGGTGAGATAGGGGAAGGAGGCGCTCACACTCAGTCAGAGCGCGTACACCTTGAAGCTGTTGGAGTGGAGCGGCATGGTTAACTGTAAGCCATGTGTGACTCCGATGGAGGAGTGGCTGAAGCTGACGAAGACCAGTACCACGACAAAGGTAGATGTAACACTCTACCGAAGCATCATCAGCGGTCTATGCTACCTAGTCCACACGAGGCCGGACATTGCGTTCACCGTGGGCTATGGCAGTCGCTCCATGGAGGATCCCTGAGAGGATCCCCGAGAGGATCACTGGGCTGCGGTGAAGCGACTACTGCGCTACGTCAAGGGGATAGTGGATCAGGGGATCGTCTTCCCCAAGACTTGTGGAAGTGGGCTGCAGCTCACTATGTTTAGCGATGCAGATATGGCGGGGGACATCGACGGGCGGTGGAGCACCTCTAGCGTGCTCGTCTTCCTCGGGTCGGCTCTAATCTCATGGCTATTACTGAAATAGAAGGTGGTGGCACTGTCCACGTGCGAGGCAGACTATGTGGCGGTGGCCACAGCAGCATGCCAAGCTATGTGGCTGTGCCGGCTGTTGGGCGAGCTGACCGGTGTGTAAGCTCACCCACTAGCACTGATGGTAGACAACCAGCCCACCGTCACCCTCGCGAAGAATCCGGTTCTCCATGACCAGAGCAAGCACATCGACATCAAGTTCCACTTCCTCAGGGACTATGTCGATGGAGGGCAGATCGTTATCGAGTTCATCGAAACTGGTCGGCAACTCATGGATGTCCTCACCAAGTCACTCGGCCGTCTTCGGTTTACGGAGCTGAAGAATATGATCGGCATGGTGGAGGTTCTAGGATTAGCAGCAAGATTAGGGGAAGAATTGTTAAGTAATCTGCTACTCTCCTCTATATGCGAGGCAGGGGCAGGAGCCAAAAGGGCTCCCCTACGGTGGTACTATAGCCGTGGCAGGGGCAGGCGTTGAAAGGCTCTCCTGCCGCACTATAGCCACAGCAGGAGCAGGCGCCAAAGTCAGCCCTGCTGTCACATCTAGTCACTATAGCAGCCTGGCATATCTGTGCACTAAGATTAGATGTGATAGAGTTGTATATATAGCTTCCCACTACAACTCAGTAAAGAGAGCGAGTTTAGTTTTATTGTCTCCTCTACAGAGCTCCGACCAACGTAGGTGCTTGTGCTATGTGTGTGTGCGCTCTGTTCTCTCTCCCTTCTTCTACTTCTAGCCATAGCATGTGGTCGGCAACGATGGTAAGCGGTCGGCTCACCCATGTCAGAGATCCAGGGGCCAACAACTCTTCCCGACACAGTTTAACTACAACACAAAAGCGAAGTTATCAACGATTGTAAGCAATACATAGTTCCTTCCAAAATCTTCATTAGAATTCTATCGACACAATACTCCCTTCATTACAAATTATACGATATTTTGGCTTTTCTAGATTTTTAGCTTTTGTTATGCACTTAGGTATACACTATGTCTAGGTACATAGTAAAAGTACTGTATCTAGAAAAACCAAAACGTCTTATAATTTGAAACGCAGGGAGTTAACATCTAGCATTAGCACCTCATCTAACAAAGAGGATTTCATGAATGCTAGCGTAGAGAGCAAACAAATGCAAAAGTGCAACAGGGAAATTTCTTCGTGTAAGCAGCATGCAGCTGTAAAAGCAAGGAGATTTTCACTTTTTAGCAGTTGGTTGAACTGAGTTTAGTGACCTACAGTCCAAGTGATAGGCAAGTTTTAATTCTGAAAGAGGTGTAGCCATCATCCGGACAACACAACAACAACAACAATATAGCCTTTCAGTCCTAAGCAAGTTGGGGTAGGCTAGAGTTAAAACCCACCAAGAGCCTCAAGTCACGGTTCAGGCACTTTAATAGCTGCTTTCCAAGTACTCTTATTCAAACATAGATCTCTAGGTATATCTCAAGCTTTCAAATCTCTTTTTATTGTCTCCCCTATGTCAATTTCGATCTTCCTCTACCTCTCCTCATATGATTAGCTTGGCTTAGGACTCCACAATGCACTAGTGCCTATGGAGGTCTCCTTTGGACATGACCAAACCACATCAACCGATGTTGGACAAGCTTTTCTTTAATTGGTGCTACCTCTAGGCGATCACGTGTATTATCGTTCCGAACTCGGTCCATTCTTGTGTGACCGCAAATCCATCGCAACATACGTATTTCTGCAACACTCAATTGTTGAACATGTCGAATCTTTGTAGGCCAATATTCTGCTCCATACAACATAGTCGGTCCAATAGTCGTTCTATAGAACTTGCCTTTTAGCTTTTGTGGTACCCTCTTGTCACAGAGAATGCCAGAAGCTTGTCGCCACTTGATCCACCCTGCTTTGATTCTATGGCTAACGTCCGCATCAATATCTCCATCCTTTTGTAGCATCGATCCTAGATACCAAAAGGTATCCTTCTTAGGCACTACTTGACCTTCCAAACTCACATCTCCCTCCTCCTGTACAACTCCGTCAAAGTCGCATCTCATGTATTCGGTTTTAGTTCTGCTCAATCTAAAACTTTTAGACTCAAGGGTCTACCGCCATAACTCTAGTTTCCTATTTATTCCCACCTGACTTTCATCCACTAACACTATATCATTAGCAAACAACATACACCAAGGAATATCCCCTTGTATGTTCCTAGTAACCTCATCCATTACCAAGGCAAAGAGATACGGGCTTAAGGTTGAATTCAGCAATCTCTGATCTCCAACATGAAGCACGAAGATCAAATTCCCTTTGGCAAGGGGGCCTTCAATTCTAAACCTGATCCATGGGTATTTGGATTAAACATGACTTGCGAACATGTACAATTCTGTTTTTTTCAAAATAAAACTAAAAACAAAATTCAGTGGATTGGGCGCCCTACTTCACACACGCCCTAATCAGAGCAAATGAGGAGACCGACCTAAGTAAGCGCTTGAACAGAGATGAGAGTCTAGGGTTTTGGGGGAACCAGCGCGCTTACCTTGGGAGTTGAGATCGTTCCGCTAAGCCTCTAGGCGGCTTAGGTCATTGATCCTCTGCTGGACCGTGAGGAGTAGGTCGTGGTTGTGCTGGTTGTAGTACTTCCCCAGACCATCGCCGCCGCCCCTCGTCTTCGCCATGGCAGCCTCGTGTCCAGCCGTTGTCAGCGTCGAGGGCTTCGAGGCGTCCTTCGACACCGTCGCCATCGCGTGATTTAGTTCGCCACTTCGCCCGTTCGCCGCGGCTATTTTTATTTGTTGAATTCAAGAGTTTGGTTTCGAGGACTGGGCTTGTGGACTCCGATCGACTCTCGGGCCTGGGCTTGTGAGGACGTGGCCGCGTGGGTTATTTTCGAAGAAAAAGTCTGTATTACCTACATGAATTATTACTGTAGCCTCAATTTTATCCTCGAAAAACTCCAAAACTGAACATGTTACTCCTTATCAACTCTTGTTTAAATATATACCTCATGCTGGGTTACAAACTGTTTCCATGGTGGTTTCATCATTTTTATGTTATCCCGTACATGTTTCATAAGGTTCTTAATAAACTACAAAAAGTGTCTTTAAGCTTTTAATTTTGAGAAGATCTTATAATAGACTAGGACATGATAAATCTAAATAAAATATAAAGAACATGTGAAAATATCTCAAAAGCTTCAAAACAGATTTAGCCCTAGAAAAGGGGGGAATATCTAGAAAATTATCAAATCATTTTAATTGATGTCCAAATGCATTTTAAAAATTTTCCAAAAATAAAAATATGTGATGCAATATGCTAAAATAAAATATATACATTTAATTCTGAATGCATTCTTGCTAGTAGCATCTCTTTTTTTGTTATGGAAAGTTTCAAAAGAACGTTTAGACATGGATATAATGCTTTGGCATTTTCTAGAATTTTCTAGATATTTTTCTCATTTTCATAGAGCTAACTCTATTTTCTAAGCTTTTGGAGATGTTTTCGTGAGACCTAAATATTTTATTTAGGTTTACAATGTCCTAATCTATCTCGAGGAATTTCCTTAATGTTTTTAGAAGCTTAGAGTCATTTTTATGAGTTAAAAATCTTATGTATTTACTAGATTCAAACCGTAAAAATGACGAAACAAAAAGGATCCTCTTAGGTTAATCCACGTAAACCAAATGTCATCATCTTGACCAACTCGTATCAAACAAACCAACTTCTGGTAATCCCTCACACTCCACTAGTGCAAGTCACAAGATCAAGTTGCCTAAATACACATAGGTCGTCATAACTCGAGATTAAATTTTATCAAGAGATTACACAAACCAGCGGAAGTATACATAAAAAAGATGTTCAATATTTAAAGATTTGCAACCCACCGGATACGTCCGATGCATGTTAGCGCTCAACTGCCCTGTTTTGCAACCTCTCTAGAACCACGGTCCGGTCGGCATCCGGTGCCACACCGAACACGTCCAGTAATTTTAGCGCCGAATATTTTCTAACACCGAACGCTCGGGGGAGCATAAGTCTGGTGCACACATGACTCATGTGTGCTCCAAGGAAACTAGTGTAATGAAAATATATTTCGTAATAAATCTAATGATATTTATTTGATATCATAAATATTAATATTATTTTATCTATAATTGATCAAACTTATAAGATACTAGCGATACTATGTTAGCATTGCATTCTTCCTTAGACAGAGGGAGTACTATTTTTTTCTCTATTTCCTAATATTTTTTCTCCAACGTTTCTCTTCGTCCTCTCTATGCGCTCACGTGATATATACTCTCGAACGTGATCACGTGATGTACTTCCTTGCGCGAGATGTGGGGTGGGCCGGAGCCGGACCGACCACACGAAGCAACGCGGGGGTGGGCCGGACGTAGCAACGCTGGGTGGGTCGGACGCAGCACGCGACTACGCGAAGCGGAAGTTAATTTATGAAAAAAGTCCACATTACCTCCTCATTTTTACGAAAGTCTGTTTTTCCTCCTAAACTCTAAAACCGGGTAAACCACCTCACTGAACTTTTGAAACCGTTTGTTTTAGCTCCCTGACCGGTTATAAGCGGTTTTCAAAGGCGGTTTTGTCTTTTTTTTATTTATTTATTTTGGTTGAATCTTTGAAAAATCATAATAAATTACAGAAAAATCATAAAATGGAAAATCCAATTTTTTAGACTCCACATGAGTAGATCTACACAGTGAATAAATAATATGGTATGCTTTAGTATAATTTTTTTTTGTTGTAGATTTAGATTTATGCTTTTCTATAATTAATTCATAGCTGCAGTTTATATGTTCCAATTGTGGTGAAATTTTTATGGTGGGCTAATTATTATATGCTTGAGCTGCACTAAAAATTTTATACTCATTAGATTATGTATAACTTAGTTATAAATTTAAAAAGTATTTATAAATCCATCCATGCAGGATGATTCATCCCATTCACCGGTCTACCTCAACCAAGCACTACCTTACTTCCGTCCGACGGTCCGAGCATCGGGCGCATAGCAGCTCCCCAGCCTAGCGGCCTAGGGCTACCTTTTCTTTCCGGGATTCTGTTGGGCTGGGCCACTGGCTCGATTTAGAACGGGCCATCCTATACGAGGCCTCTGCCTCATGAGCCTGGACTGGCCCACCCTATATAACGGTCAAGCGCCAAGCTTGCATTGCATTCCGGCACATATGCCCCGAGAAAAGCCGGCATTCGCGCACACTCGCGGGCGCAGCTGCGGTGCCCGGCTCAGCGCGGCGGAGATGGAGGGCGACGCCGCCGGAGCTGACGGAGGAGGAGGAGGAGGAAGCGGAGGGCGGTCTAGCTTCGTGATCGGCCTCATCGAGAACCGCGCCAAGGAGGTTAGTCACGCTCTAAAGCCCCCACCGCATTTCCCCGGTTGCTCCATCAATCCGCGCGAATTGGGTTGATTCCTCTCGTGAACCCGTTATCCTCCGCCCGCCGCCCTCCCAGTTCGTCATTCGCTTGCGTGTCGGGGCGCTCCAACTGTGTGAGCTGCTGCTTCGTCGGATTGCTTGCTTTGATTGGTTCGCTGATGTACCTGCTTCGTCGAATTGCTTGCTTCCATTGGTTCGCTGCTGTTGCTTCGTCCGATTGCTTGCTTCAATTGGTTCGAGTAGGACTTTTGCAGTTAGTTATTCGGTTCAAGCGTTGCATTCCATTTTGCTCGAGTTATTCTTCTAGGGTTTAGGGGTTTTGCGGATTGGCCTTTGGTTTATCGGTGTACGATTTTCCTCGGGCTGATCCAGCTGGTTTACAGTCGAATTGTGTCTGAGATGAACACAACTGTCGAGGAGGGCAAAACTATTTCAGTACCCTGCAGTTGAATGGTTCACTAATTGGTCAGATATTCCAATTTTCGTTGTCTCAGAGTTTATTCTGCTTCCTAGTAGTACCTAGCACAAGTTTCATTGCCATTTTATTACAAGGGGGCAGCACCGTAACTACGGTTAAGCAGAAGGTTGCCTACAGTAACTATACTTTGATAATGGATTACAAGCTCTTCATTAGCAGGGAAAAAGCACAAATGTCATGAACACTTTTTTTATCCCTATTGAGATGGCATGCTAGTGAGCGAAAGGGCCGCATCTCAGCGGGGGTTGCAGGAAGCAGGAAAGAGGAATATGCAATAAGTTTTCATGGGAAACATCAAACCTAGTATTTAGAATTCTATATTTAATTTGTCTTTTCTTAAGTTGCATCTGAATTTGTGTGTCCCATCCCATGTTGTATTGTATCAATTCTTTGTTGTGACAGACTGACAGTTTTGGAAATAATTATTTTTGTAGCCTGTTAATATTCTGGTTATGAATATAGACATGTACTGTTGTTTCTGTTTACATGCCTTTACGCATAAGATGATATGTATTATGATGATAAACAAAATAATTCAATTCAAAGTATACATAGATAGAGAATTATCTTGTGAAATGATTTATCCTTTTAATGATTTGGTCATCCTTTTTTGAAGAAACCAAGTATGATCTATTAATTATAGAAGACGGTATACTGTTATAGGTTGGTGTTGCAGCCTTTGATTTAAGATCAGCCTCATTGCACCTATCTCAGTATATCGAGACAAGTTGCTCATACCACAATACAAAGACACTACTTCATTTCTATGATCCCATGGTTGTCATTGTGCCCCCAAACAAAACAGCAGCAGATGGTATGGTTGGAGTTTCAGAACTGATCGATAAACATTACCCAGCAAACAAAAAGGTATTTGATATTAACTTGGATTTATTATCTATGTTTTCAGTAATACTATTGTGTTCTAGTATAACAGAGAATTTTATAGGTCACTATGGCACGTGGTTGCTTTGATGACACAAAGGTACATTTTCTCCTCTTTTACCCCACCCCACTCTCTTTCTTTCTATTGTTGAGGCTGAATAACTTCCCCTTAACACCGTACATGTTCCTCCTTTTTTAAGGGTGCTGTCATTGTGAAAAGTCTTTCAGCTAGAGACCCATCTGCACTTGGTTTAGATACTTACTGCAAGCAGTATTATCTTTGTCTTGCGGCTGCCACTGCAACAATTAAATGGTATGTGTGCTCAACACACTATGACAGCATCAGGAACTTTTGCGGCTGCCCTGTTAAGGAATAGTAATAACTTTTGAAGTAACTGCATGTTTATTTACTGTAATATATCTCCTGTGCGTATAATGCTATACTGCTTCAGTATCTGTTCATGCTGCCAATTACCAAGTTAGACCTGGTTTCCACTTTCCAATTGTTCCAATGGTTACTGGAGCATAAAAGTTACTGCAACTCCATGAAAAATCAACTCATTTTTAGGCCATACAATAGAGATGTTTTCTGTGTTGCCACATTTATTTGGATCGGGTTTGAATATGATAACACAAAAAGGCTTTCTTGTTGTTGAAATATCATAATAAACCCATAAATCATGCTCTTTACTGTTCCGTCCATAACACAAGGATCATACTCATATCTAAGCACTTCCATTTGATATTGAAGATAATTCCTGCACATTCATTCTTACTTGGTCTGTTATAAAGGGCCAGATTTAATTTTAAGTTCTGAACTCCAGGAAGGGGCTTCCCACATGGCTTCATCTAGAAATTTTCAACTTAAAGCTGTACTTTTAAGTTATTATCACCTTATCTTCTCTTTAGTTTAAGTTATAGATAACTACGAGTCTTTTTGTGGAGAGAATATCTCAGGAACAGTAGTCCTAGTAATCTATTATAAGCTTGAAAAAGATGGTGTTGTTCCAATACTTGGTTTGATTTTTCATACATTTACAGTTGATTACCTTTATATTGTAAGTTGGTCTTATTGTCCATTTGCTTACTAATTTAATTGTATTTCTCAGCCACTGTTTCTTTTTCTGTTCCATCATTCCCTTTTTAATAACTGTTTCAAGTTGAATCTCCCTTTGAATAAAAATTTCACTTATGCTCTGATGTTGATATGGTCATATCACCTTTTTCTGGAATTCAGTTCATTTGCAATTACAAGTCTATCTACTATTACATGAATTTTATGTCGAACTTTTTAAACTTTGTTACAGGATAGAATCAGAAAAGGGCGTATTCATTACCAATCACTCATTATCAGTAAGTTCTTAGGCAGGAAGGTCTTATTTTGAAGCTGTTGTTTCACCTTTTTTTTCTCGAATGATGCAGGAGATCTGTGTGTCATTTCATTAAGAAGAGAACTGTTGTTTCACCTTGATGTTCATTATTTTTTTATTCATTATTAAGAACAGGCAGAAATTTGATGCACACTATTTGTTCCCATTGGATGATCCCTTCTTTGTATATGCACTGTCTCCAGAAAGTTCTCGCTCTAAGTGGAATCCCGGTTGCTATTGGCAACAGATTGTTAATTATGTGTATCTTTTATGTTGTTTCAATTCCTAACAATTATTCTAGTGATTGCTGATGCATTACATTCTGTATGCATTGGGATTTTGATGTTTGCTTCAGGGAGCAATTTTTTTAGAAAAAATAAGCAGGCATATTATTTTGTTACTTCAATGCCCTTCATTATTTTGTTTCCAAGACTTAGAAGCAGAATACGACACGATTCACTGAATCTAAACCATTCAAAACTGACATGCTCTCAAAGATTTATTTGTTTCCTACAACTTTTGGTGTGCCCATTAAATCATGTGTCCTACTACTAAACTAGGAAACTGGGAGTTGGAAGAAGTTGTTCTCCCTTTTCTATCTATTAGAACCATATTCGTCATTATTGAAAATCTCTCTTTATTGTCAGGTTACATTCAATGGGTCATTTGACCATATGAGTATCGACTCAACTAGGTAATTCTTTTGGGATAATGCACCTTTGAGTCAAATAAAGTTGTATCAATGCTGTTTTGCTCAATCTCCTGCACCAAATGACTGAATGAGAAAGAATAAGATATACTCAAAAACTTGTGCATGGACCTGAATTGCCTTAATTGTTTTATATGCACTCAACAGTGTTCAAACATTGGAAATTATTGATCCTCTCCATACTGAACTATGGGGCACTAGCAACAAAAAGAAAAGCCTCTTTCAGATGCTGAAGACTACAAAGACTACAGGAGGGTATGCCTTCAGACTACCAATTACTCCCTCTTACACTTGTTGACACTTGATAGTTTTCTAGTAGGGTCAATCATGCTAATTTTCAATTTAGAACTACTTTTATCTTGTGTACTCTAGAAATCATTCTAGTGTAAGCTATTCACCAATCATTTTTTTTTTATTTTACTTGTACATTTGAGAACATGAAGCTCTTTGACGTGCTTATTCCAGGGCTAGATTGCTGAGAGCAAACTTATTACAACCATTAAAAGATATTCAGACCATCAATGCTCGTCTAGACTGCTTGGTGAGTAGATTTAAGATGTATTTATGGAAGAATACCTGTGGCTTATTTATGGTTCATCATTGCTTAACATTTAACGAAGTATAGTAAAAGCTTCTGATTTGTATGTTGTTAAGTTAATGTTGGAATATGTATCACGTATTCACGTGCTTGGTCCCATACTCCCATTGGCTTTACTTGTGGCGCTGTGTTCTTTTTTCCCCTGAGAATACGCAGGAGACCTGTGTATCTTTTCATTAGGAAGAAAATAGTTTACTGTTTATAACATGGGCCAAAATGGTGCACGCATGCTTGAGCCTAGTACTGTGATTACTGTCTAGAATATGTAACCCCTGCAGCCAATCGATCGGTCATCCCAGCCCGGCGAGACGCTTAGCTCTTGACTGAATCCATAGGTCGGCTTCTTTGAAAATCATCTGAATGCAGCATTGTGTTCTGAGGGCTAAATTGAATTGTCATATAACTAACGGATGTCTGAATGCAGTTTAGACGTTTCAGATTGCTTAAGTCTGAAGCATATTGGTTTCCCCTTTTTCTTAAGCTTTGTTTCTAAACAATTGTCAGAAATACTCTCTTGTCGTGTAAGCATAATTCAATACTGTCCCATTCCCATACATCTGCATTGGCTTGTAGCTGAAGTTTTTGAGTCTTGATGTGAATAGCAATGAATTTTGGGTATGTCAGAGTTCATTTACCTATGGCTTTGATAAGCGAATACTAAAAAAACTCGACCCCTAGGGGTAAGACCTCCCCGAGGCATTGACTGAAAGGTAGAAGATTCTCTTCTGTAGGGTCAAGAAAAGGCCATAAACCACGGCTAGTTATTGCTTAGCATTTAGCAAGATAGATGCACAGCTGCCCCTAAATAAGCAGCATGCTGAAAGTCCAACTAAGAAACTCTACCTCTAAGCATCTAACAGGCTAGCCATTGAACAAAGCTAATCTGCATGCGGCTACTAGCTAACTAATTTATGCATCTAGAAGTTATAGACTGCAATGTGCTAACTGGCTACACACACCACGGTCTGCTGCTGTTAGGTCTTGCCATTGCTGCTCCCTGGCCATGCCGCCGCCGCTGCACAGGCCCAAGCCCATAACAATGATTGTGCAAAAAAATTGAAATCTGGGATCTCATAAGTATTCTCTTATCATTTATGTTAAGACCCAGAAGCAGACAATGATATGTTACACTAGCACCATGTTTCCTGATCTAAAATATCAATTGTTTCCAGGATGAGCTAATGAGCAATGAGGAGCTGTTTTTTGGTTTGACTCAAGGTCTACGGAAATTTCCAAAAGAATCAGGTAATAAAGTGCTCTCTGGTTATCCTGCTCTGTAAATAAATACGACTCTTAGTTCTCACTGACAGAAAAAATTCTGTACTATTGTTACTGTACATTAGATAAGGTTCTCTGTCATTTCTGCTTCAAGCCCAAAAAGGTTACATATGAGGTATTGAAGCCTGCCAATGGTAGAAAGAGCCAGATGTTGATTTCTGATATTATTGTTCTTAAAACTGCTCTGGACGCCATACCATTCTTATCCAAGGTCTGATAAACCATTTCATTTTCCTTCTGTAAAAAGAAATGCACATCATCACTGGAATTGTAACTACTTATCAATGTGTTTAATGTGTACTCTTTCCATCATCCAGGTTTTGAAGGGGGCAAAAAGTTTTCTTCTTCACAACATTTATCAGACTGTATGTGAAAACCCCAAGTATGCGAATATGAGAAAGAGGTAGTTTTATGACCTGCTTCAAAGAGAAAGTTATATGATCTTTTCAATCCACGGAATATGTAGCGACTATCATCCAGTAGCACCATGATAAGTAAATTACACGATAAGAATTCGGTTCCCTTCAGAATTTCACAAATCCTTTTCTGTAACTTTACACTTGAAAACAGATTTGGAGTTTTAATAGTGAATAACGAATAAATAATTTTCACTAATATATCTTGCTATATTTCCTCCAAGTATTAATGATTAAAGCAAGAGCTCTTCTGGATTAAACTAAATTTCGAAACAAGATATTTACCAGTTTGTTCCAAATTCTGCTTGTAGTTCTACTGTTTCACCTTGCAGAAGCAGTTATGTTTTTAGTCAACCATAATGATTACATATTGCATCCTTAGATCAGGTTCGTCTAAGATTTCTAGTTCTTGGCCAGAATGTGAGTATTTCAGTGTTTGCTGACCACAGTTATATTCCTTGGTATTGCTTATAATTATTGCTACACAGTCATGTACATATTAATGTTCTTATGTTTCCTTTTGTGGTCCTAGAATTGGAGGTGTCATTGACGAGGATGTGGTTCATTCAAGGGCTCCATTTGTAGCCTGCACTCAGGAATGTTTTGCTGTTAAGGCAGGAATTGATGGGCTGCTTGATGTTGCTCGTCGATCTTTCTGTGATACCAGTGAAGGTAATGCTTCTTATGTACATCATTCTAATTCGTATTATTCACATTCTTAACAAATTGTGTTGCAGCCATACATAACCTCGCCAAAAAGTACAGGGAAGAATATAATATGCCAAATTTGAAGATGCCCTATAATATTAGGCAAGGATTTTACTTTATTATACCCCAAAAGGACATCACCGATAGGCTTCCTAATAAATTTATCCAGGTAATATGAACATGATCTTCCAAAATCAGCTTGTTAGCTGTAATATGCTAACCAGTATTTCTGAATTCTTGATGATTAGGTTGTTAGACATGGGAAGAATATCCATTGCTCAAGTTTGGAGCTTGCTTCAGTAAGTTTAACTTCCCTGCATTATTCTTAGACATCTTAATATTGACCACAAAAGTTTTTCTGCTGACTCTCAAATTTCCAGTGCAATAAATGTTAGTCAAAAGTCCATGACTACCCCCGCTACCCCCGTATACTTTATCCATTTCCCTTACATTGTTCTGTAACTGAGAATGTGCTTGTTGGCTATATAGCTTTGGTATCACTACAACTTTTTTTTTCTTTCAAAAGCTAGACTTCCCTTTTATTAATTGGCACATAACCCTGGCAAGCACAATTCTATTGCAAGATAGCTTTATGATCAAGTACTTTCTATCCAATTTTGCAGCTGAATGTTAGGAACAAGTCGGCTGCTGCTGAGTGCTTCTCGCGCACGGAACTTTGTTTGGAAGGTTTCTGTAGCAATTAAGCACTGATATTTTATTTCATTTAGTTCTTGATCTTAGTCATCTGTAGTGTTCTGTTACTTTTTTTTGGTTGACTTTAAAAACACAAGGATCAAGCAGTTCTTCAACTTACTTAAAACTTAGTTTTTTTCTGAGGAAATAAAATTATAAGCTTCTACTTACTGCTATATAACATGTTCCATTTTTTTTTCTGGAACGCACAGGTGTGTATCAGTGCATTAATAGAAGAGAGTTACAACATACACACCCCAATGAAAAAACAATTACATTAGCGCCTATCCAAATGAGTAAGAGAACGACCCGACCTAGAAACTTAGCTACCCAGGCCCCAGGGTAAAGGAGTTAAGGAAGAAGAGCCCCTTAGCTCCTGCCATACCCCAGAGCTGTGATTCTTCCCCAGTGATAGATAAGACTGTAAATAAGTTCGGAGTAGCACCATTAAACACATTTATTTCTGTGTTTCGACAAAATCCATGCACCCAATATGATGAGCGAGTTTAGGCCCTATTCCATATATTGCTATTGCAGAGAGCCATAGAGATCTTATATTTGTTGTCATCCTCCAAGCAAACGGCAGCAGTTAACCATTACTGAAGAGTGCATGCCATCATTCTGAATTTGTGTTTCTGTTCCCATGCTTCCAATTTAGGAGTGATACCTTTAGTCAGCAATTTGGTAATAAGATTACATAAACCATATGTCTATACCTTTCAGCATTGCAGATCATGCCAATGAACAGCTGGATGTACAAAATTGAATGCACTGTTGCTGTTTGTAATTATCTTATGAAAAATTCCATGCAAATCAATTTACAGTGTTGTAACATTTTTTTAAAAAAAAAGAAGCTTGTGGGCACTGGAGCCCTTGAGTTTCATGCAATGCTACATTTGGACTGCGATGCAAGTATCTTTAAGCTGCCTGAGTTGCTTGTTTATCATTTCAGGGCTTATTGACCAAATCAGAGGAGACATTGGTATCCTTACATTGCTCGCCGAAGTATTATGTCTTTTGGACATGATTGTAAATTCTTTTGCGCATACAATATCTACAAAGCCCGTTGATCGCTACACAAGACCAGAGTTCACAGGTGTGCAATTTAGCTCCTGTCATGTATTTTTCTTAGACCATCCATTTCGCTAATATATATTTGTTGAAGCCAACCGTTGTGCATGGGCGAATTAAATGCTCTATACATGCATGCATGCTGTAATTTTGAATTAAACGTTTGCTGAAAAAAAGTTTCTATTCCCTGGACTTTATGATAGGCATAAAAGGGAGAATCTCAACAAAACATCCTCAGTTAAACTCTGGACAATATTTGAAATGAATACTCCCAAGATTATGGACAAACTTAGTGGAAAGATCTACTGCAAGTGTGAATTATTTCATTTTAGTGCTATAGGTATCCATCTCTAGTTCATGAATTTTGATTCTTTGTAATTAAGCAGATGACGGTCCAATGGCAATCAATGCCGGACGACATCCTATTCTTGAGACCTTGCATACTGATTTTGTTGTAAGTTGCTTTTTTTTGTTGATTTTTTCCGATACTTCATAATCACTTTCGTTGTTAATTATGTGGATTATATCCATGGCCTAAGTATTGTTTCTGCTATACAGCCTAACGATATCTTTCTCTCTGAAGCATCTAATATGGTTCTTGTCATGGGGCCAAATATGTGAGTGGTATAATATTGGACCTTAGTTGATGCTGCAGGCTATTCATTTATCTGTGGAAGTTCATCTAATATCTGGATTGTTTGCTGTTGCAGGAGCGGGAAAAGCACATATCTCCAACAGATATGTTTAATTGTCATTCTTGCACAAATTGGCTGTTATGTTCCAGCTCAGTTTGCATCCTTAAGAATTGTTGATCGTATATTCACACGGATTGGTAACGGGGACAATGTTGAAAACAACTCGAGTACGGTATGTGTTTGAAAAGGTTGTGTTAATTGCAAAACATGTAATTGCCAGATGAGGATAAGCCGGATCTCTTCTACGTGATATCAAGTTATCAACCTTGTTTATTGTGCCTTGTTATGCAACTGTTCATGGAGTTACAAAGTATTCTGGAAATACATGAATAGTACTGTCCTTATATCGAACATACCACAACTATGCACAAAAAGTTTAACTTCTATGATATTTCCATGATAATTGACATTTTTTTTAAATGAACATGATAATTGACATTGACAATTACTTAAAATTCTTCACATTTCTTTCCTTGGCTACCACCTCTCAACTCTCAATACACATCTGGAATATGAAGTAGAAAAAAAAAAGCTGGATAGTACATTGGTGAGACTGGGTGGGACCATGAAACTCTTGAAACGGTATAAAAGCTCATTGGTCATACATTCAATACACATCTGGAATATGGAGGAAAATAATTGGTTGGATAGTATGTTGGTGAGACTAGGCTTTGTATTTGTATTTTTTACGAAATTTAGACTGAGGTATGGTTTAAGTTTGTTCTTATTTACCAATTGCAGTCTGCTTCCTTACTTTGAAAGAAACAGTCTGCTTCCTTATGGTTTAGCAAAGCCAAAGTGAACTATAATTTGAATGGAGGAAGTACATAGCAGCTTCCATTTTCTATTGAGTTCAGCTATTGTTTGTCACGCATGATATTATTCTTGATGTATCTAAGTACCTTAATGTGTCTTTACAGTTTATGACAGAAATGAAAGAAACTGCTTTCATCATGCAAAATGTTTCTTCAAGGTATTTCTACCTCGTTGCTGAAGACTGAAATTCGATGTCTTGTATTACTCTTGTTTTCTTCTGATGTTCATGAACTTGTAGGAGCTTGGTTGTTGTGGATGAGCTTGGAAGAGCAACATCTTCCTCAGATGGGCTGGCAATCGCATGGAGCTGCTGTGAATACCTTCTTTCTGTGAAAGCGTAAGAACTAGTTACCTCTTATTAGGTCTCAGGATTCACAGGAAATGTGTTCTTCATTGTTGCTGTAAATGCATGGTTTTCCTTGTTCTTCATCCTTGACTTTTGGTGCATTTCCTGCACCCTTCTATAGTAAACTGGTTTCTTGATCAAGTATGTATAATGTAATGTACTTTCTAACCTCTAGGCTGCTTACAGTTATTGATTATTGATAAGTCTAGCATATCAAGATTCAAGAGTGTGTATTTGTCTTCCTGACCAGCTCTGCACTGTTGGGGTTCAAATTATAGTTGTCAATTAAACTAGTTATACTAGTATTGTCATGGTTAGATATCAGAAGTAGCTATACATCAAGCCATAGGCACTAGCCATGTCTGATGCCTGCCTCTTATCACAATTCATTTTCAGCAATACTCAATTCATTGTAAACAGAGATTTCATTAAAAATATAGAAAGGTGATTGTACTGTTTTTTGGGTCGAAAGTGATATATTATTGCTCCTCAGTAACATTGTGTCTTTGACCCATGTAGATACACTGTTTTTGCCACGCACATGGAACGCTTGTCAGAACTTGCAACAATGTATCCAAATGTGAAGATCCTCCATTTTGAAGTTGACTTAAGAAATGACCGCTTGGATTTCAAGGTCAGTTACCTGTCATACTAGCGATTTCAGTAATTTGCTCCTTCATGTCTGTTACATTAACATTATACCAACTCCTGCTTCAGTTCCGCCTAAAGGATGGCGTCCGACGTGTACCGCACTATGGGCTTCTGCTGGCCAGAGTAGCTGGTATCCCTACTTCGGTGATCGACACCTCAACAAGTATCACTTCACAGATCACGGAGCAGGTAACCTGGCACCTATATGATATGTAGGGATGTACCCAACTGCTGATCATTTGCAACCAGATATCGTCATCTTTCTATGGCTCCCAATCACAGTTCTGTATTCACTAAGTGAACAAAATGATGATTGCTTGCTTGTAGCACTAGCCGCCCTATTATACCTTGACTGGGGAGAGCAGGGCTTTGTGCCCAAAACAAACAACTGAGCTTGCACTAGCTGATAGAAATCTGGCTCCTCTCTACTTCCTTCTCTACTGTCGAGGAAGCAGACAGGGCAGGCCAGTCCTAACTGGCACTGCTATAATTGGACAATAGTGGCTAGACGGATGGACAATAGCATTACTATCCTTAATTAACTAACCACTAAGGAATTTACCAATGCTGCCTATTTACTTCACATGATTGGGGGATGGGGGGGTCTCTGTCTCAATTTTGCATGTAAATTTTTCGTGTTTATTCTTGCAGGAAATGACAAGGATGGATGCCAACTGCAAGGAGTACCGGTCGCTTCAGATGATGTACCAGGTTGTGCAGCGGCTTATCTGCCTGAAGTACTCAAACCAAGGCGATGACTACATCCGTGAAGCGCTGCAGAATCTCAAGGAGAGCTATGCTGCGGGCCGGCTAACATAAGAGGTTGTTCTCATTGGTATGAGCTCTGGCCCTTAAATGTTAAATAAGAGTTCTTCGATTCCAAGGTGTTCGTTCGCGTGACTTGTTTTGTTGTTCTGCAGGTGTATGCTGGAGGATCCATCAGCCAATGTATATGTTCCTCTGTTAATGCGAAACTATCTTAGGTCATCAAACACATATTGCAAATCGGTTGTTATCTCACATGTGATGCAACATCTTATCCCTTTTTCATATAGATGAATGATTACAAAGCAAGACAGAGCATGTGAATGTCTAGAGCAAAGCGATTATTATGAACTATGATCTCAGCTACATAGCTTTTACAAAAGAATTACTGGAAAAGATGGAACACCAAACGAAGATTACATTGGTCGATGCATACTGTAGGTTTAAACAAATGTTGGCATGGTTTTCTGCCAATACGTTATTCGATACACAGTAGCACGAGCTGGGGAGGATTGAAGAGTGAGGAGCAGCGGTGGAAGGCAAGAGAGCAGGAGTGGTGACGTGGTGTGGGGATTGCGCTCTAGTAGGATTAGGAAGTACCGAGCGACACGGTTTTGGGAGAGTCCGATCAAAAGGGTGGGTCAGAGGCTGCTTTCCACTTTCCAGCCGCTGTGTGCCTGTGTTGAAAGATCCATTTGAAATCGGCTGCTAGACTAGGCAACTAATAGACCGTTAATTAACCTACCTTCGTTTGAGATCATTTTTTTTTACATATGGGCATTCTTTTCAACAACAAGTTTTATAGGACGGACGATTAGACCTGCTATGTTGTATGGTGCAGAATGTTGGCCTACGAAAAGACGACATGTTCAACAGATAAGTGTCGCAGAAATGCGTATGTTGCGTTGGATTTGCGGTCATACAAGAAGGGATCGAGTTCGGAAAGATGATATACGTGATAGATTAGGGATAATACCAATTGAAGAAAAGCTCGTCCAACATCGGTTGAGATGGTTTGGACATGTCCAACGGAGACCTCCAAAGGCACCGGTGCGTAGTGGAATCCTAAGTCAAGATAGTAACGTAAAGAGAGGTAGAGGAAGACCGAAGTTGACTTGGATAGAGGCAATAAAAGGAGACTTGAAAGGATGGAATATACCCAAAGACTTAGGCTTAGATAGGAGTGCTTGGAAGACAGCTATTCACGTGCCTGAAACTTGATTGCTTTTGCTGGGTTTCAACTCTAGCCTACCTCAACTTGTTTGGGACTTAAAGGCTTTGTTGTTGTTGTTGTTGGCATTCTTTCCAACCTGTATGAATCTTTTATTTCTTTTCTTTCAACCTTTTCTCTAAATGAGATTTCTTTCTATCAGTCCTAAAAAATGACCGCTTTTTTAGATATACTTCCAACAAAATGAGAAAATGGCAGGTTCTTGAATCCTGACTGCAGCAACAGCACGAGTTTCGAGAGCAGCAGCACGCCAGCACCACGCCTCATGTTCATGTAAAAATCACCCTACCAACCTCCAACTCCTTAATGCAAAACATCACATAGCAACCATCTTGAACAATAACATGTCTTGAGATTATTGGGAAGTAAGAAGAACAATAACATGAGCTGGAAGCAAATTAACCGGTTGATGATGCCCTTAAGACTCAAGAACGTACTTTTACGAATATATAATCATACAAGCATATACGTATATATAGTAAATCACCAAAAGGGGTAAGATTTACACCAACTGGCAATTTAGTTTTGCCAATAACAAACGATCACTGGGGACTTGCACGATTCATGAACTAATCAAACAAATTAAAAACACACGACTCATGAACGAACAAGCAATGCAATGCATCACATCTAGCAGCAGCTAGTGATCTGATCTGAATGCAGTGATGAATGCTCGATCAAGACAAAGCAGGGAAACTCACCTCATGATAAACCCCCAGATGCCTACCAGCACCATCAATTGCTTATTAATGCAAAATACCACATAAGGATTGATGAACCACCTCAGACATGTAGTAATTGGGAAGCAAGAAGAACATAACAATCACTCAGAAAAAATTTAATTTCTCGTTGATGATGTCATCAAGAACGTACGTTTACAAACATAATCAATTAATCATACAAGCATACATATGAATCACCGAAAGGGGAAGGATTTACACTTGAGACTTGCACGATCCATGAACTAATCAAACAAAAACAGCGACTACTCATGAAACGAACAAGCAAAGCAATGCATCACGTCCAGTACAGAATCACGCAGCTGCTCTAATACCCGATTCATGGTAAATCGTCAAGCCTGGGCGGGGAGCTCCATCTCCGGAAAGAGGCTGCGGATGAGGCGCAGGCTCTTCCCGGCCGTGGTTGGCCTCGGCATCTCCTTCTTCGTAGTCGCAGCGACAGTGGCGGTGGGCGGAGGCAGGGACGGATACGGATTGATCATCCTGACTTGGTGCGGCGCGACGTGGACGGTGCTCTTGGGATCGCCGCGTGGCCAGTTGGCGTCGTAGACAACCTCGTAGCCTCCATCGGTGGACGAGGACACGATCGTGGCTTTGAGGCAGAGCACGAGAACCTGCCCCGTCTTCAGCGTCGCAGTCCTCGTGCGGACACGAACCACCGTCCCGGGCTTCAGATGCGCGGGGACGCCAGTACTAGCTCCGCGCTCGGAACTGGCCGAAGATGGGGCGGACCGAGGCAGCGGCGGTGGAGAGGCGGGGGTGTAGCGCGACGAAGCGCGAGGCCGGCGCTGCGGGGACGCGTCGGCGACGGTTGAGCCTCGGGAATGGGCGTTGGTCGACGATGTGACGTCCCGATGCGGTGGACGAGGGCATGGACCCCTGACGACGTCGCTCGCACCGTGACGCGGCGGCGGTGACACGGACGGCTTCTTGGCGACCGACCTCGTGGGCGCCAACGGCTTGGACCTCCTGCGCTGGAGCTCGCGGCGGATGCTCCGCATTCCGGCCGAAGAGGAGCGCGGATGAAGGTACATCACCATGGCGGAGGAGAGCTGTGGTCGATTGGATCGACGAGAAGCAGAGAAGCTGGGTGGATTTCGGAAGGCGACGGCGAGAGCAGAGGAATTGCGTTGCGCGCCAGGGGAAAAGAAGGGAAGGGGGAGGGCGTGGGATTTACGCAGATGGACTGGATTCCAGATCTGGCCCAACCACAGTTTCGAGTCCGACCCGAAGTTGGATACATGGATGGGCCAGTTGCCGTAAGGGCCAAGTCGATAAACGAATCGAGACTGGATTTTTTTTTTCAGTCGTTGGGCTCTCTCGGCTGGGGATCCCGTCTGTCAACTTTAAAACCTCTAGCCCATTATTAATTGTCCTAGTTGCTGCTTCGAACAACGAACTATTCCAATCCCCGGTACCATTGGTGTTTATTTTTAGCATTTCAGCATTTGCTAACACAGATTATACTAAAGTCACTTGCAGCAATAAGTATTTTGCTACAACATATTAGACTAAAACAGAAACATCAACCCATTTGCGGCAAAGTGATACTGTAATCCACAAGCGCCGCAATATTGTTGATACTGATTGCAGTAACAGCACAATTCGATTTGATTGATCACAAGCATGCATCAACAAAAATCAGATATATCAGTTTATTCAATCTCTCGGTAACAGCTCACCACATGATAAATTCCCAACACCACAGCCACACTTCCAATGATCTAACGCAAAATGTTATGTTACTGTATAGGATTGGCTTGGGCAGATTAAGGGCCTGTTTGCTTGTCTGAATTCTGGAGGAATTTGGATGGTTTAGAGGAATGCTGGAGGAATTTGTGAGAGAAAAACACTGTTCCGGATGAAAAAACAAGCGGATCAAGCCGGGTTTAAGAGCACGCGAACGGGGCCTAAGCGTTCTTCTCATCCAGCTCCTCGCGAATGAAATGAGAAAGTGTGCGAATTTCATTTCTCTAATTTCATAATATTCAAAAATATTATAGATAGGTACACATCAATATATAATAGAAAATGCCCACATAGCATGAAGTTCCTCCATCATCCTTCATTAAGCCACTTGACTATCGACACAAATCACACTTGGCTTGATCTTCCTTGAATGATATTATCCATTTCATGTCACTATGTGGCCTTATTAGTTCATCGATCGTAACTTCGCTTGCTCTTCACCGTTGCCTTGGTCCATCGGCACCAAGTTCTTGCTCAAGCTTCTCCGCCACGTGCTGTCAGTCGCTCCAAAGCCTTCGACTTGCCCTTCACACTTGCAACCTAGTCCATCGTAGCCAAGCCATGTCTCTTGATCTTCTTCACATTGCACCATGTCATATCTCATATGCAATGAGCACATTTATCATAACTAGTTGAGCACTACCAACATGAACAAGCCACTTCTCTACTATGGCTTTAAGTGTTGCTCACACTAGTGTACTAATCCCTGTGTATCTCACAACATGAACACATGTTAGTTCACCTAGGTTGTCACTCAATTACCAAAACCAAACTAGGGTCCGCACCGGATGCCCCCAATGGCTAGTTTCCAACGGCTATAAAACTAGTCGTTTGGCTTGTCAGACGTTCGGTGCGCACCTCTAGTGCATACCTGATACGTCCAGTGTGTGTAAGTGCTCGAGATGTCCCAAAACATCGCTACTAGAACCCCAGTCTGGTGCGACCTTCGGTGCCTTCATCGGATACGTTCGGTGAGGACTTTTAAACTACGTGCGCTCGGCTAGAAACTACTGTTCACGTCCAGTGCGTACACATCCGATGCACACCGGACTCCTTTGTGCTTCGCTGAAAAACTGATTAAGTCTGGGCGCTAGCCGACGCATCCAGTGCCACGTCTGGTGGTCCACCGGACACGTTCAGTGCCTGCTAAATAGCAGCACCGGTAGCACTCTCAACTCTTTCGTAAGTGTGCCAACTCTCAGATGTTTTGCCAAACATGTTAGACCCGAATTAGCATTTTTTTCAAAGTATTTTCACAAACATTTTTGGCTTGGTCTCCGACATGTCACTTAGGCCTAAATGCAAATGCATAGAACAAACACCTATTGGCACTAGATGACCAAGATTGCTAATTAGACCTCCCCTCTTAATAGTACGACCATCTATCCCAAACCTGATCACATACTCTATTGCGTCTTGACCGGCAAAACAAAATCCCTATTTATGCATTTGCCTTCACAACTTTGATTTTGTTTTTTCTTTCTTCTTTTCCAAGTGAGAGCTTGCTCCAATTGGATTGATCACCCTTCATCCATCTCCAAGTCTTGCTCTCCATCTTGGTGTCGACCTAACCTAACTTAACAAATACTTAGCAAAAGGTTAGTCCACTAGTTGTCTAATTACTAAAACCAAACATAGGGCTTTCACCCCCACACAAAACCTAGGGATAGCAAGAAGGGCTATGGTTTCCCCACCACACGCGTGGGGATGTATGTGGACACACCGGGGAACTAGGTTGTGGAAAGATGATCAGATACTCTAGTGCAATGAGACATTGGTTTGTAAGGACTTCATTGTGTAGCTACCTATTAAGTTAATTTGTCCTTTCTAGTTATATATATGATGTATTGTACCTTGTGAGAAATTGTCGGTGTGTGTGTGAGAAATGAGAATTGTCTGGTGTTGTATTGGGCATGCAGTGGCACTCACTATTCACTATTGGGTGTTGAAAACCCTAGTTTTGTTTTGGCTAATTGATGAAACCTATTGGACTAACCCTATGTCTAAGTGTGTAGATGAGATAGGTTGGTCCAAGTCCAAGTGATGGAGCTACATGGCACTCAAGTGATGAAGGTGGCCAAAAGATGGAGACCAAGTGCTCCAACATGGAAAAGAAAGAGAAAAACAAAATGGGCGCAAGGCAAAGGTATAAACCATAGGGCCATTTTGATTTGTCAATCAAGACGCAATAGAGTGCATGATTGGATTTAGGATAGATACGTACTATGAAGAGGGGACAAATTCATGGTGAAATGCGGTTATCAATTGCCACTAGGAGTTCTAACTCATTGCATATGCATTTAGATCCTAGTGAGCTAACATGCCCTTACAAAAAGCTTTCGAAAATGCTAACACACATGCACAAGTGGTGTATACTCTTTGGTGTTGGCACATGAGAGCAAGGAAGTTGAAATGCGCTTGAAAAAAAGAAGAGAGGACGTCAGACCCTGGCTGGCCTAGGCATCGGCCCATGGGTCACCAGTCTGATGGCTAACCCTAGTTGGGCAGTAAACCAGCACGAGCATCGGGCCCTAGATGGCATGGGCGTCAACCCATTGGCCGTGAGTCCGATGGGGGACCCTAACACTGAGCAGAACGAGCATAGGGGTGTCGGACCTGGAGGGTCGGTCTGATGGCCAGCGTCGGACAGGCGTCCAATGGATTTTGGCGGTGTCGGGTTCATAAACCCAGGGTCCCTCATGGACCAGCCTCCCAACAAAGGTTCAGCCTAAGCAGACAAACACACAACTCATGGGTCGGCCCAAGTACCTAAATGACAGGCCAAAGGGGCAATCGAATCTCCGACCGGGAGGCCTGGCCAAGGAAGAACAGCGCCCTCTTTCTGATTTCGGCCCACCTCTCCGACTGGAGCACTTGCTTCGGTCTCTAGCCCGCCTCCGGACGGCCTCTTCGACCGGAAGGCCTGGCCAAAGCACTACTTCCGACTCCGACCCATGTCTCCGACCAAGGATGTGCCAAACCCCTCTCACAGCTCTTCTCTGACTGGCACAATCAGAGCCGACTGGGACCAACCGATCGGGGACGCCTGCTCAGAAAGGACCAGGGAACAAACGGAGAAAGCAAGGCAGGGCGCACAAGTCAAGCCACGATACCAAGGACCGTACCCTGTACACCTGCAGAAACAGTACTCTGCAACCTCCCTGGCAAAACAGAGCCCAAACAGGGTTGTAGGCGCCGACATTTTCCCTACAATATTGTGGGCGCCATTAACTCCCATACGGTAAGGCTCCCCCCACATGCCTCGGGCATCGACAGTGTTGTGGGCGCTGCCATTTACCGTACCGAGTGAACATGGTGAAACTCCTCACATGCCTCTAGGCATCAACAGTATAGCAGGTACTGACATCTGCCATACCCGAACAAGACGACGCAACCTCCCACGTGCATCTGACATCCAACAGTGTTGTGGGCGCCTACCATCATCCTGTACCCGCTAGCATGGGAAACAAGGCTTAGAAGCATACGTACTCTCTCCCTCTCACTTGTAAGGCCATCCCCTTCATCTATAAAAGGGGATGTGTTCTCTCCCAACAGAGGAGAGATTCAAGTCATTCCAGATTCATTAGATCGATCAAGTTCACTAGCACACAACAGCAGAACCACCAGGTTCAAACCACGAGCACACACTCGAACACTTAGCTCATAGCGGAGCTCTTGTCACTCTTGGCCCTTCTGACTAGAGTACGACCGGACCTCTTATACCCCCATCTTTCTCCATCTCGTTTGTAACCCCACTGCAAACTTCGAGCACTTGGGCTCAGGAATAAAGTCACCTACCGACTCAAACTGGACGTAGGGCACGTTGCCTGAACCAGTATAAACCCCATGTCACTGAGTGCTAGGCCACCTCCGATCACAACGTACGATAAAACTACAAATATTTACTTATTAGTCACTTTCTGCACCGACAGCTGGCACCGTCCGTGGGGAAGACGTTGTATGTTCAACACTTTTTGGTCATTAGATGGCCCACTTTTCTGCCACCTTCATCGTGACGGGCTCAGGCGATACGACTCATTTTGGCTCACTGGAGTTTCTCGCACTCCCACCTATTAGGATGTGGGTTCCACCTGCCTCCAAGCCATCCCAGGCCTTCCTCTTTGAAAGCCTGGACTTCATCGCCGATCAACTCGGCGTACTACACCTCCGCAAGGAGGCACTCGTTCCAGCGCCCATCGAAGGGGTGCCCTCCATCAGCTTTGGGACGCGCGACGACTTCAACAACAAGGCATCTGCACTTCATTCCGAGTAAACTCTCTGCTCAAACCCC